ATCGTGGTAACTTTTTAAATATTTGTCGAAATGACATAGTGTAAAAAGCAAAGTTTATCGTCTTTAAATATCAAAAGCGATAAAAGTAATTGTTTTGATAGAAAATGATTTGTTAATACAAAATGTGCATTTTGGAAATAGATATCAAATAATATTTTAGTTTTGATTCACTATTTTAGCGGTAATGACTTACACATTAAAAATAGATATATGGTGTCACGGACTTTTTTTTAGAACTATTTAAGAGATACATTTTCACTCTACATTACATTCATGTAACTTTTATCGTTTTTGCAGTGCAGGACAAAATGGCTCGCAGATGGGAGATTTTTTTCCGTCTCATGTGACACTTATTATTATATATTGGCCAATTCACTCAATAACTACATAAATTATTATATATATGTAATTATCGTATATGAGCTATTTTACTGTTAAGTTTCATTAAAATCTATTCAGTATTTTTTTGGGTGAAAGAGTAACAAAGATCCATACAAACGTAAGATTGAAATTAAAAGCGTAAGTGGTTAATATACAACTTTAAAGCGTTGTAGATCCTAAACAATCATATAAAATGAAAAATGGTGTTAGGAACCTAAATATGATTTTTGATTATCTAGACAGTGATACCCCACTCCACATATTTTGTCAACTTATTTTTTTTACTTCGTCACAATATGGCGCCTAATTTTGACCATGTTGAAATCATATCTTTAGTAGCACTCCCATGATTGAGACAAATCGATTGATGTATGAATCATCAAAATCGGTCCAGGGGTTTGGTCTCTAGTGTGCCACAAAGGAACAAACATACATATATAGACTGTTAAACACATAACCCTGTCTGCGCGTCGCGCTTCGCGCTCTTGCATTGCGCAGCCGGGTAAAAAATAATTATGCTTAATAGTTCATTCGCTTAATGTATAGTTAACTATCGAAAGAATCGTAATTTCAAGACCGCGACCCATTTGCATGACATAAGTAAATATTTCAGAAACACCAGAAGTAGTTCGATGGCGTAAGTCATTGCCGCGTGCTGTCCATCGTAGAAGTTAAGCAACTTTCGCAATTGACGGTTATAGGATGGGTGACCAAGACTTTATAATTTCTTGGCCTGAATCAAGGAATTCAAATTCAAAAATCATTTATCCAGTTTAGGATTTACAAGCACACGTGAAAGTCGAAAACTACGCGATCGGTTCGCAAAACTACGGCGGGAGACCTTGTACTGAGAAGAACCGGCAAGAAACTCAGCTAGGGCTGCTTTTTTCTCCCTGTTTTATTTCATACAGTGTCGTCAAATTGAAAGTTGACATCAAACTTGGTAACATGTGTGAACTTCCAGAATACCTAGCCATAATTCAGAAGTCACGTTAAGCCGTTGGTTCCGGTTGTATCTGCGATCGTTAGCAGCCACCAATTCGTACTGGGCCCATATGGCTCATGGCAAATTACGACATTTTCGTTCATAGGAAAAGCCTGTGCGTAAGTAGCAAGGCCAAATAGGATCTAAAAGTGGTAGCTTGTCAATAGCTTTTAGTGTCGTTTTCGCTGTTATGTTTAAGTTCATAAGCTGTTAGCTACCCAAAGATAATAAATAAAATAAATGTGCCCGTGATGATAAAGATTCCCACATTGTTGTTGGTTTAAAAATTGATCCAAAGTTGCCTTTTTTGGAGGTACTCGCATTGCACACAAAAATAATAATAGTAATTATCTTTGCTGTCGAAAATAAAATCGTTATTAACAAAGTTGCTTATATATACAATACGGCATACTCGTAGATGCGTGATATAATCAGTGTTCTCAATTACTCATCGTAGCCTTGAAAAATTATGCTCGACTAGGGATGCGCCGATCCGATCCGATCCTTTGAAAGATCGGATCGGAAGCCATACGATCCCGTGATTTTAGGATCGGATCAAGGCCATACGATTTTTTGGCCGGATCGTTACAAAACTTGAAAGATCGGATCGCTTGGATCGTATGAATTAAAACGCGGTTTGTTTACAATAAATTGCGTAGGTACTTGCTAAGGTTTCTGTCACGAACTTTATCTTTGTTTACATTTTAAATTGGCGGCATTCATTGCCGCCAATGGTGGTGGATCCGTTAATCTTATACATTCTATTATTATAAACAAAAGTTGTGGGTAAATTTATATATATAGGTACTACTAAATCTATTTCTTCCTAAAACCATATACGTCACCTATTTCTTGCAAAAACAAGAATAAATTTTGTTGAAATTTCATTATTATTAATTATGAACAGTAAAAGTTCTTGGATATTTGATTTTTTTACAACTCAAATACTAAGTTCTATAGAACTCGATTGTTTGAACATGAACCAGTTTTTATTAGTTCCTGAAAATTCTAATAGTGTGTCTTAAGAGGTTTTTGAAATGACTGATTCAATTGTACTTTAACTATTAGTAAGTAGTTGGGCGCATTTCTTCGAAGTCAAAATTTTTCATATTATAACTAATAAATATTTTTTTAGTTCTATGTGTACTTAAATTACTATTTCACATTGTGTTTCTTTCAAAACTAAGTACTTGTTTATTTATAAGTTTTACATTGGGCAATCTTGTTTGTTCACAAGTTTTACATACTTTGAAGGGTTTACCAAATAAAAATCTAAAATTAATTGTCTTACTTATTTGTATCCGATCCGATCCGATTTCTTGAAGATCGGATCGACGACATGCCATCCGATCCGCGGATCGGATCGTGGCATTACGATCCATTATGATCCGAAAAATCGGATCGACGACCCGGATCGCACATCCCTATGCCCGACTTCATGATTTGCAAGAACTTGTTTTTTTGCATAGCTGTAAGATTTATTTATTTATTTACTAATTTAGTACACACACAATAAAACAGATAAGAACAGAAAGTTCATGATTTGCAAGAACTTGTTTGTTTGCATAGCTGTAAGATTTATATATTTATTAATTAATTTAGTACACACACAACAAAACAGATGAGAACAGGAACAAGAAATTTGTACTGCTTATTTCATATTGAAATTTCTTCCAGCAAATACATAAAATAAAAGGTCGTCGTACAAATAAAAATATATACTAAAATAAAATATACAAGTGCTAAAAGGAGAAGCAATACCGTTCGGAAACAGTGATTCAAGAGGATAAATAGTGTTCCTTCAACAGTTTTTTAAATGTAGCAACAGTTGGACTATCTCTGATTCCTGCCCGGCAGCGAGTTCCATAAACTGACGGCATAATTAATAAGATTGTTTATAACACAAATAGATAAAGAAAAATATTTCATTACAATCGCATTTCTATGCAAAAATTTCTGCCTGGAAGTCTACTGCGAAGTGTTGGTTTGGAAATTTCAAACAATAATAAAATTGCTTTGTATGGACTGCATAATACAGATTGTCATTGTTCCAAGAATTGAAGTAAGGTTAAAACTATGTAAAACACCTCATACAGTCGCAAGCATCAGTAAACTATGGTAGCCACTTAATAAAAGTTTGCAACAATTTTACTATAAATAAATCGCAAAAGCATAACTCCCGTTATAACTTGACATATACAACTCACATCAATCGCATTGCATAATATTCGCACACTTTTCTAGCACTCAGTGAAGGCAAGACTCGTTAAAGGTCATAATAATTATATTAATAAAAACAAGAACAAAAAAACTTATTGAATCAAACCTCACTCAAAGACGTAAATTATGTTAAGTTTAATCAAATATTAAATGGATTTTAATTTCTGTATGATATCAACAAAATAAGACAACACCTTACTTTGACAAGTATTAAGTTTAATTAACTTCTTTGTGTGGAAGGCAATAAAATCACCTGAATTAATTAAATTGCGGAACTTCTAAACATGGTAAAATAGTCAAATATCGAAAGACGGATGGCACTACGGGGCTATGACGTAATTGCCATTAGCTCCACAAGCGCGAGTGAGACAGCAAGCTGCTCCCTGCACACTCCTTTATAGACTCTAGTAAAAACTCTTTAGATACATAGAGTGTAGCAGTTAAATGCTTTTTAAAATATAATAAAATTTAAGGCTGTAGTGATCAGTTTAAATTAGACCTACCCCCCATCGCACTAGGCACTGCTGAGCCCTTCAGTGGGTGCTTTGAGAAAATTATTGGGAATTTGTGAACGTTATGCAGAAGCTCACGGGCTTAAGTATAACGCGAACAAAAGTGAGTTTATGGTATTCAAAGCTGGGACAAAATGTATTAGTCCTGATTTACCTGTCAAACTTTGTAATGCAAATTTAAAGAGAGTATTTCAATATAAATACCTTGGCCACTGGGTTACAGATATGTTAAAGGATGATATAGATATTGATAGGGAACGTAGGGCGCTGGCAGTTCGATGTAATATGCTAGCTCGCAGGTTCGCACGTTGTACAAAGCAAGTAAAAATTACACTTTTCAAGGCGTATTGCCAGTCTATCTACACGTGTAGCCTGTGGGTCCGATTTACGCAGAGGGCTTACAGCGCACTACGGGTCCAGTACAATAATGCTCTCAGGGTGCTGTTGGGTTTGCCGTGGTGTTGTAGTGCCTCAAGTATGTTCGCAGATGTGCATATTGACGGCTTTCATGCCATAATAAGGAAACGCTGCGCGGCACTGCTGAGCAGAATACGTGGCAGCACCAACAGCATCCTGTCGGCACTAGTTGATAGGTGGGATTCTCCACTGTTGGAGCGCTGGTTGCATTTGCATGCGAAGCCCCCGGGCCGCATGTAGGGGGTGCCTTGTGTTCCAGCAGGGGATGATTATATTATTTTATTTTATTTGTAATCTATTTTATACTTTACTAACATAGTTTTTAAGGTACATTGTTACTAACATTTTATGGACTTAAATTGTCTGAGAATAAATTATTATTATTATTCTTATAGTGTAATCCAGGAAGACAGAAATCGGAGGAAACTTTACTTCTTAGCATTATAATGGAAAGCGGTAAATTAACAATTAAGTAAAACTATTACCTTTCTCTTATCGTTTGCCGTGAGATTATCCATGAGACATTTATACGACACTTGCTCCAGTGAAGCGGAACTCTTGTAATCGTATCTGAGACTGCCGTGTCTGGTTCTTTTGGATTCGAAAGACAAGCTTTGTGTTTCATTGAGTCTCGGCCGAGCGCGTACGGAACGAAACGAGTGGTGCCAACTTCGCTCCTCACTTTCACTCTTGAAGTAATCGTGGTGGAAATGTAAGCCGTCGTTCGTTTTCGAATCTCGGAGATTCTTGCCACAATTGTTAGGGCAAATGTTGGGCACGCTGGAAGTGAGTGTTGGCAAATCCACAGTAGGCGAAGTCTCCTTTGAGCTGGAGCTCGACGACGCATCGAATGTGTCGTAATCGGAGCTCATTGCGTCAAAAACGCTGAGTTGTTCGGTCAATCGCATTATAGTAGACATCGTCTGAAACAAATGTTTTTTAATGAAACAGTTTAACTTAGTTTCCTTTAAGAAAATTCAATTTCTAATTCATTATGTTGCGATGTTATTCTTTACACGGAAATGTTTGCAGCCGAACCGAATTAATATTTTTCATTCACTCATTCACCAGCACGCGGGTTTAATGAAAAAATATTAGCACACAGTAGCGGTAGGGTACGGCAAGGAGTATTCATGCGATGAATGAACAATATATGCCATAACATTTCAATTTCCATGATAAACAAAGTTAAACTATAGGCGAACATGTTTATATTTAGGGAAAAACCGATAGATACCTGACTATCCTTTTCTTCGTTGCAGTTGTTTTTGGGCCAGCCGATATAAGACAAAGATTCTTCCACGGCGTTTGCGTTCCATAAAGTCAATATACTTCGAATTTTACACTTTATACCTGAGAAAAAAATAATGATTCTGAAGGCAAAATTATAATGTTTTACCTGAAAATAAAACAGTTATTATATGCAGAAACCTTCTTCGAGACCTAAGAGTGAGACAGCTACACTTTCACCTCTTCGAACAGCCCTCCTCCGACCCCCTCTTGGTAGAGGGGGTCGCAAGACACACAAGTCAACTAAGAGCTGCAGCTGCCGGTGACGACTACGTCACGGGCAGGTCTCAGTTGACTTGGCACATTGCATCTCACTAGTTAGGTTTAGCCTCAGGCAGCATTTAAAATATAGGTCTCGAATAAGGTTTCTGCATATAAGAACTGTTCTATTTCAGGTAAAACATTATATTATTTGTGCTGAACTAGTAATTTTCAGATGATCTCACCTTCAACGAGGGCCATCACGTCGATGGGCCGCGTGGCCTGCAGCAGCATCACCACTCGGTCCATATCATTCATGATCTCGTCCTTAAGTCTCGACACCGCTACAACGTTGTCGTACTCCGCTTGGATCTTATTGGTGGCTGAGTTCAGTTCAGCTTTAGTGCTATTCACGTCCTTCACTTGCTGCACTAGCCTGTCGAATAGAGACAACCATATCTTTGAAATTTAAATGTTAATTTTATGAAAAATACTAGCAATATAGAAATATATAGAATTTAAGTACTAGCATAAAGGATATGCTAGTTCATACTATACTATATGTAATTTTTATACGTATTTAATTTCTTGCTACGATTAAACCAATGCAATAAACAATAGATATTAATAGTACTAAGCCGTGGCGTAGCAAAGCGCGAGCGGGGAAGTTACACTATTTTTAACCGACTTCAAAAAGGAGGACATTCTTATTTCAGTTGGTGCTTTCGAGACTAAAAGCGGTAGCAACATTTATTTACAATGGGGGGCGGGCTAAGATCATAATAATGATTTGTAATGATGGTAACAATCGTGGTAAAAGCCGACGCGACTGAGTGTCGTTGTGCACCCGCATACGTTGTTAGTGGTGATTCACTTGCTAGCCTCGTCTACATACAAATACTAAGGTTGCGTCATACTGTATGGTTACCTGATCAGTCCGCCGGTACGCTCGGGCTTGTGAGTGTGGGCGGCGAACGCGCCTGCCGTCACCACGTCGTGGAAGCCGGCGCGACTGAGAGTGTCATTGTGCACCCACATACGTTGCAGGTGGAGATTCACCGGCGCAAAAGACAGGCTAGCCTCGTCTGCACACATACAATCAAAGTGAAACTTCCTTCAAGCTGGAGTATCCAGATCATACACCTTAAAGCCCTCGCAGATTGGAACGGCAATGGATAATGTCAAGGGATTTTTCTGCCCGTCAGCGACACTGGCGAATGCACTGCCGTCAGGAGCCTTTAAAATTTTGTAGCATTAAAAGATACCCACGCGCGTTTTAATAAGAATTTCCTTGAATATTGTGGGATCGATTTCTAAATATCAGAATTTAAATCTTATTAATTTTAATCTTAATCACTACTTGAGACGTTTTGTCATTTGATATAAATCTACTTAGACCTTAAGATAGGAGAATGGGAAATAGTCGCTGGAAGCAATAACTGAGAGTTTATCAAGTTACTTTATAGTATTATATTAACAAAATCTATAAAATACACAAGAAAACTAAAATAAAAGTATGGTGAAACAATGGAATACGTATGGCTAAATCACGAAATAGATAAAAAATATTAAAAAATCTTTTTTTTTACAAGCTTTTATTGCTTGATATTAAAAGAAGTAAAAAGTTCAAATTTAAGTCTGACAAAAATATACCATTTTGTATGTACATTATATCCCAATTTTTTAATAAAAGCGCGTTACACTCTTTTCGTTTCTCGTGCCGACTGTAACACGCTTTTACCGTAAAAATAATAATGTACCTATAAAATGGTATTTTTTTATCAGACTTTAAATATAATTTAATTTTTGGTTCTTTTTATTAACAATAAATTAAAGCTTGTGTATCAAAAAAGGCTTTTTATTAATTTTTATTTTCAACTTTTTATTATTTTAAATTTCAGAATTTACTATTATTTCGCCTTCCCTTAACCTCGTTTTCTTTGTGCAGTAGTTTCGTTATTAATCATGTTGTTCCTACAAGTATATGACATATACTGTTCATCCCACCAGAGGTCTACATCTAATGGGGTTGCATATAAATATAATCTAGGACATAAGTACTCATCAAGAGTAATTAAACGAACCCAAACTTGATGAGGTTACGTGGTTTTCCAGGCAACTTTCAGCTTCGTCGTCAGACCCTGTTTACTATATAGGACCAAAGGGCTCGCCAAGACGAATCATACGAGCCCAAAATCGGTGGCATTATGTCGTTTAATAACGCGGTTCCTATGGCCTACCACCTTTCAGCTCCATAATCAGACCCTGGATACCATCTAATAACTAAGTACCTACTGGTCAAGATGAATCAAATGAGCCTAAACTTGATGGAGTTGCGTCGTTTCATTATAGTTCCTATGGCCACCTTCTAGCTCCATCATCAGACCCTGGATACCGTTTAGAGACAAGAGTGTTCGTCAAGACGAATCATGCGAGCCCAAATTCGATGGCGTTATGTCGTTTTATGACGTAGTTCCTATGGCCACCTTTCAGCTCCATCATAAGAACAGTTACATGGTACCATATTATTGCATTGACACCAGACTTACACAAGTTTGCCAAATTTCAATTTAAACGGAAAACAAGAAGTGATCGTAAAATGGTTTACAAATTTTGGATTTACATATTACATACGAAGGGCGCAAGTTAAATAATAGCTTGTAAAATAACTAACAGTACGGCTCAGGCCATAATAATAATAATAAATTTATTTGCATCATAAATATTTTTTACAATCGTGAGGTACATTTGGTTGCTATCCAATTAACACTAACAGGAGCTCAAGTAGTTGGAACACTAGCTACATTACTAAGTTGACAAGACAACTTGTATTAAGGGAGCTAGGCTCGACCCACCAATTTAGCAATAGAGACAGTATCGAACGCTTTTTCAAATATAAAAAGATTTATAGAACCTTCCTTTTCTTCTCAATATTAACTGCGATGTGGTCGATTAGGTCGATTACTGCATTGTTTGTCGATTTATTGCGTCGAAAACTGAAGTGATTTGAAGAGAGTATTTTTTTATCTTCCAGATATTTGAGGAGTCTTCTCAAAGACGTCAATTCTTCATTAAGTCGCGTGTTGTCTTATTTTGTTTTACCAAGAAATTTTGTTTCTACAAAGAAAGTGACAGCATCAACTTTAATTTAAATTAAAAGTTAATTGGCGTCTCTGAGTACGGCAGCGATTTAGCGCGACCTAAGGGTCTCACAAATTAAATTTTGCCCATTGCTTAGAAATGGGTATGTAATTAATAAAGTATAATGCGCGCTCCAATTCAAGCGGGAAATCCGCTATGCCCTACGTCTTTTAAAGGTAAAATCGACGCTGGTAAAAGTAAATACTTAATATATAAAAACTATCATTAACGATATTACATTTATTTTAAAAGAGATAGGGCATTGCGGATTTCTCGGTGAAATTGGAGCGCCCGCCTGTAAAAGAAACCTTTTTCCCACAGAAGACCACAGTAAAATAATACTTCCTACCTTTTGGTATTGCGTTTCTGTTGGTGAATAAGGTTTTAGGGCTCCACGGGGACGGGGATTGGGTTCAGGCCAGCAAGGTGAGAATGGCTGGAGCGGCAGACAAAAAAGTCTCTAATCTAAAAATCTTCAGACTTCACTAGTCCCCACTTACACTTAAATATCTGGCTGCGGAGGGGAAATTTTCTGCGCCGTATATTAAAAAAATATATCTCACTGATTATTAGATGCTAACGCATATATCTTTAGATAGATATATAGATTTTTTTTTTTAAGTTGTTAATATCGGAGTTGGTATTTAATTAGGCTTCTAATTACCTAGAAAAATAGAAAATGGTAGTATTTTCTAATTAATACTCTGAGGGGTTACAATGTAGGATCAAAGTTTTGTACTGCGCGTGCGAAGCCGCTGACGGAAAGCTAGTACCTATTCTACAAGAGCATAATAAAAATAAAAGAAATAATTATTAAGCTCATTCTATTTGAGAGTAAAAATGTTATAGGTTTACTTTAAAAATATTATTCAATATAATAATCATATGACTATACCAGATTCATGAATTCAATATTGAAATCGAAACCAAAAGTTAAAGTTACGCGTATGATTATCGTTGTTGTTTTATTATTTCTTTATTTGGTCCCGATATCGCACGGTCATCACAGAAATCCCGAGATGTTGTCAAACCGATGGCTGTAGCTGTGTAGCGGCATAGAGCAACGTCGCGCATAATATTTACTCTCGCTCGCATTATTCATAACTGCACCTAGTGCAGCGCTATGCTAATTGGTTATAGTAAAATACTTCGACCAATCAGGATGGGCCCGTAAAATCACCCGTCTAGCGCTTGCACAGGAAAGATTTTTTAGAGTGTTCACGCGCCCGTGACCCCTACTGTATGTTGTCCCAACCCACCGCAGAGTCAGTTCGGTATCTAACAAAACAAATGACTGGTCATTACAAAGAGCAGAAGAATCGTCATAGAGATTGTGATTTCCAGGGGGATGTATAATTTGCTCAGCTAGCGATCTACCTATATTGACAAAAAAATCATTCACCATATCTACCGATGTTTGGGGTGAGGTTGAGGAAGCGAGTAATTCATTATTTGGAATGGTAGGTTTGTAAGAATTAGTTATACGCTTAATAACTTTCCACAGCTTTTTGTTGTCATTTGAAGCCTCCTTTTAGTTCTTTCCTATCATAATCTCATTTTATTTTTTTAAAGATGTTTGTGCAATAATTTCTGTACCTTTTATAAGTAATAGTTAGGATAGTATTATTAGGAGATTGCTTAAGTCTCTTATGCATTAAATCCCTATTTCGCATACAGCGCAGCATGCCAATCGTCATCCATGGCTTAAGTAAACGTTTACTGTTGGGAAGTTTAATTAAACAAGTATTGTTCTATATTAGGGTGCTCAAAGTGGAGATTAAGAACTCTACTGCTTTATTAGCATCGGCAAGTTGGTAAATCGACTGAAAACCTATTGTATATTTCATATCACAGTCCAAAGTTTTGTAATCTATTTTGGAGATAGTGCTTATAAATTAGTTGGGACGTTTCTTTAGATTAAAACACAGCAATACGGGGTTATGGTCGGTAACAAGGGAGTCAATTACTATGGTGAGTGCTGATAGATTAGTTTTGAGAAGTACATGATCGAGGCAGGCGCCGTCTCGAGTAGAAAGAGTATGAGCTGGAAGTATGCCATGTCAGGCTAATAGGTCCAGATAATTTGCAATTTTATTGGAGGATATGCTGCAGGTAATATCCAGGTTGATGTCTCCGACAATAGCTATGCATTTGAATGTGGTTAGGGTCAACAAGAGAGCGTCAAGTGAGATAAGGAATTTTGTTATGTCATTGATAGAAGGGGATCGGTAAATACATATTATTGCCTTATCAGTGCCTATGTTTATTACCAGACAACTAGCATCAGAAAAATCTGATTCTTCTACTGTATATTCTCATCCATCCTCGAAAGAAGGATAGTGCGAGCCGTCCCTCCGACTAATTTACTATTTCGTGATAAAGTTGTGTAGCGGATTGAACTGTGTGGGTTTAATCGATAAGAACTTTTCTACGATTACCTTTCCTACTGCTAGCCTTGAAGTACATGTTGTCCACTTGCTCCATGCACCGCTTCGAGTGACAGTAGTGCTTCAACAGTGACACGTGGACGGTCACCAGCTCGAGCTGCCTACTCTGCCACTGTCCACACATCTCGCCCACTGACAATAACTCCTCTAATAGCTCTTTCTCTCGCTGGATGTAAATGTCACTAGAGAGAAAATAGTTTGATTCGTGAGGAGTATCGATAAATTAATCGATTATCATTTATTATTTTTTTATTTGAAGTGGCATCATCAAACTATAGCTTTTTAATACCGCTAGATTTTTATAATCTTATAAACACCACCTGCATACCCGACGCGCGCGTAGCGTCTAGTAGGGGCACAATAGGGTATTCGACAAGTTTTAGAAAACGATATCACGTTATTGACTAATGTTTATGGAGTCCGTAAAAAGTGGATATTCATCATTCTGTTGTGTATTTCAGTAAAAATAACCAAAATAAAAACTCCATTTTTAAGTTGCCGCGAAAACGTTTCTCTGGGCAATCTGGCGTCTTACTAGTGTGTGACGTCACACGACTGATATTAAAACGTCAAACGATACAATGTAATGTCACTTTAACCGGAAGTTTACTTGCGTGTGACGTCATTTTAGGCTCGGCCAATCTTAAGCGTTTTGGGTCACGTGGTCACTTATCTATTGATAAGAAAATTATTATCTTTTTCGTGGGTTTTTAGTAAAATTACGATTTTTTTTTTTGTAAAAATAGTCAAAACCCCTGCCAATACTCATTCTAAACACAGATGCTAACAATTGGCACTTTATTTTTAATACTGTCAAATACCCTATTAAGTACATTTATTTCTACTTCCGAATAATTGACACTGGTTAAAGTATTTGACAATGTATTTGCCAACAATGAAGAAGTGGTTAACTGCTTAAGATATACTGGAAAAAATTCGACACATCCATTAAGGTATCGGTAGCATAGAGGGTGCATTTGTCCGGATTGCGAGACACTGGTTTCAATCCAGCCTTTTATACCTTGGCCGAGTAGATTTTTTTGCAGTAACATGTAAGTTCTATTATGTTGGCACAAGTCAGGAGCTCGATAGCGCTAATTTAAGTGTGTGATCCTGGAGGTTAAGCAACCTTCGTAATTGCAGGTCATTGGGTGGATGACCAGAGACTTTCTATCTCAAACTTTTTCGTGCTCCGTAAGGTACGTTAAGCTGTTGATCCCGGTTGCATAAGCATTCGTTAGCACCCACCAATCCAGACTCGTAGTAGGTCAAGGCCAATTGTTTCTTTGCATTGTAGGACAGACATGTATTTCAGCAGTGGGATATTTAATAGGCTGACTAAGATGATATTGGCACAAAAACTAACACTTACAGCAACTGCATGGGCATCTGGTAGCACAGTTTCGGCTCCGCCATAATCTCGTGTACAGTGATGTCACCGCCTAAGCCCGAATGGAACCTGTACGTGACTTGGTGGCTATTAACGAAGTTCTGTTTCAGAAGACTACCGTAGGAAGGGAACTTGAGCTTGAGCCCCAACCGGGGTGGTAGCGATTGTGACCGCCTGTGATAGAGCACCTTCTGCGGTATGTCGATGCTGTTCCTATCGTTGGTGTGACTTGGGCTAGTTCCTATGTAAGAAGGTTCTAAACTCCAGCCGTTTATGGTGACGAAGCCGACGGTTTTGTTGTCCCGAGTCATCAGAGCCACACGCAGGCGCTGAGCTTCCTAAGAAATTAACTGGCTTTAAACCAAATGTTTCTCATTCTACCGCGTACGTATAAAAATTACCTTTTTGTAAAGTGATATAATATAGCCTGTATAATGTTTTGATTTCACTACATATTAATTTTTACAACACATTTGCATTTTTTTCATTAATTTTCACCAATTAAGATAGTGATTTCCATTTACTTATTAAAAGCATATAGCGCTAAATTCTTACTGCCGCCAATAAAGAAAAAAAATAAAATGACAGCTACCCAAACTACATTCTCGCATATTCTGTCATTAATAATGTGCGAGAGGGTAATCGAACGTCATGGTCATGCTTCAGCATTTTTGATTCCTTTCTTTACTGACGCCAATCTATCGAAATCTAAAATCAAATTGTCGCACATCCTGTCAGGGATAATTTAGTCGCCATTTTTGTTTCTTTGTTAGCTCGTTTTATATTTACCTGTATGGTGGTCAGCTGGAGCGCAGTGAAGCCCATCGGCACCGCGGTCTCCGTGACCCTCTCGCGCACGTCGTACAACACTATCCTGACTATAGCGTCGCCGGTGAGGCCGTCGCTAGCGCGGAACAGTATCGTCTTTGAGAACGAGGGATTGCTACAAGTCTGTACCAAACGGAACGTGCAAATAGGTTTTAGTTTACATGAACTTAGGGGATGCGTATTTTTTTGTTATGTACTCTGATAATACACGAGTATCCTTTTCCAAAAAATATTTTTTTTAGGTGACCATGCGGTACTTATACACCGGATTTTAGGTGTCGCCTACTCAGAGGTACTGGGTTCAAATCCCGGTCTCGGTGACTCAAGAGGCCGTCGCTGGTGCGGAATCGTCTTCGAGGACGAGAGATTGCTACAAGTCTGTACCAAAGGAACGTGGCAATAAGTTTTAGTTAACATGAACTTGGTCGATATGTTTTCATTTTTTTGTTTTGTACTACCAGAGGTAGCTACCCTACACCATCCACGTTAACTTTAGGTTTTTGAGAATCCCACACAAACCTAAAATTTTTCCGGGATAAAAAGTATCCTATGTCTCAATCCAGGTCACAAACTATTTGCGTATCAAATTTCATCAAAATCCGTTCAGTATGTTTTGCGTGATTGAGTAACAAACATACAGAGATGCAAACATTCAAACACACGTACTTAGAAACTTTTACATTTGTTATATTAGTAGGAATACTTTTAGATACGATAATACATGAGTATGCTTTTCAAAAAAACTTGGTAGAATGTTATTACACCAGATTTTAAGGTATCGCCTACTCAAAGGTTCTGGGTTCAAATCCCGGTCTCGGTGACTCAAGAGGCCGTCGCTGGTGCTGGTATCGTCTTCGAGGACGAGTTTACACCTCTGTGAAGTTAGCCCCCCACTTTTTGAATTTTATTATTATCTAGGTTGTTCTGGGTTCTTCAATGTTTGTTCTACATTGTTCCAAAGTATTATTTGATAAAACTCAAATTTGAAGCTGCCAGACAAAAATAACCGTTTTTCTATGGTAGCCCCCTATGTTTGGAAATTCAATATTATTTTAGTTGTTCCAAGTTGTTCTAGTTGTTCCTAACATTGTTGCAAAGTATTATTTGAAAAAACTCAAATTTGAAGCTGCTAGACAAAAAAAATCTTTTTTATGGTAGCCCTCCATGTTTGGAAATTGAATATGATTTTAGTTGTTCCAAGTTGTTCTAGTTGTTCCTAACATTGTTCCAAAGTATCATTTGAAAAAACTCAAATTTGAAGCTCTCGCGAAAAAAATCTTTTATTTATAAAATAAAATCGTACCAGAGACAATAAATAAATCAAAAAACATTTTAAACAATGACGATTGTACAACAACAGTACAACCGTGGGCTATATCGTTCCAATTTCATTTAATCATTTTGAGTAAAATTAATATTTATAAGGCAAGAAAACATTGGAATATAGGGTAAAGTCTCTAATTGTTGACACTTTAAGAGTAGGTAGCATGACAGACATTAAATTACCATAAAATCACATCTAAATGAGCTAGTACACAACACATGTAACAGCATCAATGAAAATAGATTAATATAAAAAATAACTCATTTAGATGTGATTTTATGTTAATTTAATGTCTGACTGACATGGAACCTACTCTTAAAGTGCCAACAATAAGGGAGTTTACTCTATTGTGTAATGTTTTCTTGTCTTATAACTATTAATTTTATTCAAAATGATTAAATGAAATTGGAACGATATAGCCCACGGTTGTACTGATACAATCGTCATTGTTTAAAATTACTGTTGATTTATTTATTGTCTCTAGTACGATTTGATTTGGGGGGGCGGAAACGTTTTTTGACGTGACAACGTCTTAAATTAGGTTGCGGCTGGGAGTCACTTATGAAAAAGTGTAACGCTCGGTAACGTTACGATGAGTCTCTCGTGTTAAGTTTAAGTTTACATGTACAATGTTTTAGTAAACAAAATATATTTCTATAGTTAAAATTTGTGCAATTCTTATTTTCATTCAATTCCTTGTTCCTATTGTGCAATTTAATTATATTCATATCAATAAATATTCTACCGAGAAAAAGACGTTGTCACGTAAAATCTTCGCCCGTAAAACCGACTTTACAGGCAACCATTTTTTTTTGTCTGACAGCTTCAAAGGATTGTCCTTTGAAGCTCATACCCCGTACCAAATTGCGTCATAGATATATTTACACCAAAAAAGTAATTTTATTTATGTGTATTATGTACTTTTAACGGATTTTTTTAACCACATTTAAAAAAATCATATTAATGATGCTAAATAATTTAAAAGCTTTAGCCATTTTATAAGTAAATAAGATTTTAAAGTATTAAATAAAATATGTAATCACTTTACATCATTTTATTTTATCTCACCATTTCATAAAGTAAACATTGCGTATTTTCGAAACTCAAAATATACATTCATGACAATTCCGAACGCTTAATTACGGAACTGCCAGTGTCAATGTCAATTTCGTTTTTGTTGTAATGATGTTTGTTTTGTTTGTTTGATCGACGTTATTCTTGCTGCATTTGAGTCGATTTCATAGTTTTATCGTTTAATTAATTCACCACGTCTATAATAATTATTGACAGTGATGAGATAGTGACTCTTTTTTGCGGATTATCGAGATAGTGACTTTGAAGTGCCGTGTCGAGACAGTGACCCTGTAGACGCCAGCCGGCGCGGCGGCGTAGAAATTATAATAACACTGCTAACCTAATTATAATTTAACTAGCGATACTATTTATAATATCACGGGTCTTGCAATGTATCTGCGACATCTATAATAATCACGCTGATTCAAAATTACTAAAATGTTATCATCAGGAGTTTTCCAACTTATGTATTTTTTTCTAAAATGTGGTTAAACATTGACAAAATATTTTTGAAAGTAAAAAGTTAGATAAAAACTAAACTCTTGCGAGTGAATTTGGTTTGATGCAAGTTGGTACGGATCTCCTAAGAAAAATGGGCATTGTCCTTTGAGTTTTTTCAAATAATACTTTGGAACAATGTTAGGAACAACTAGAACAACTTGGAACAACTAAAAAAATAATGAATTTCAAAACATGGGCGTCTATCTCATAAACGGTTTTTCTTTGCCTGACAGTTGCAAATTTGAGTTTTTGCAAAAAATACTTTGGTACAATGTTAGGAACAACTAGAACAACTTGGAACAACTAAAAAAATAATGAATTTTCGAACATGGGGGGCTACCTGAAAGTCGGTTTTTATTGTCTTACAGATTCAAATTTTATTTTTTTCAAAGAATACTTTGGAAAAATGTTAGGAACAACTAGAACAACTTGGAACAACTAAAAAATAATGAATTTCCAAACATGGGGGGCTACCATAAAATGGGTTTTTTTGTCTAGCAGCTTCAAATTTTAGTTTTTTCAAATAATACTTTGGAACAATGTTAGGAACAACTAGAACAACTTGGAACAACTAAAAAAATATTGAATTTCCAAACATGGGGGGCTACCATAGAAAATTGGTTTTTTTGTTTGGCAGCTTCAAATTTGAGTTTTTTCAAATAATACTTTGGAACAATGTAGAACAACCCAGAACAACCTATTTTTTTCCAAATAAGGGTGTAAAAATTATATAGTCAATACGATCACTGCATATAGGATCGTTGAGCGTAAGTTAACATAACATGTTCATTTTAATCTCTTTAATCCGCTAATACTTACAATATTAATTAAATTCCAAAAATATAACAGCTGAAGTCATCACGAAAGTTAGATAAAATCAAAATGGAAAAATACGGCACTAGCGGCTCAAAAGTGTAACGCTTTAACTGTAGTGGTATTAAATTTTCTAATCAGAACTTAAATCCAATGCTCTTTACAATATATAATTAAATCAAGCCAATACTCATACAAGCTTGTATCGATTATCGTGTACCGAGTCGTATGGTTACATCACCAGTTACAAATGTCAAAACTGTAGGTAAGATATCAAAAGGATAGCGTTTAAAGAATTTTCCTGCAACTCCAGCGTTAATGCTCATTAACTGTAATTTTCCAATACTAGGAAACTTAGCTCTAATATAAATATCTCTTACTGGAAGTTGATTGTTGAAACTGGCCGCTAGAGATATATAAATAACTTAAAATATGTGACCCAATGCAACGGCGAAAAGAAGAGAGAAAACCTGGTTTTATTAATAAGACTTTCAGTGTAATATGATTTTCTTATAATTATTTTATGAGACTTACTCCAAAATAATTTTATTATACCGCAATAGCAAATAGCACGATCTTTGCAATATATGCAATATTAAGTTTGTACTTTATATAATTTTTATATTATTTTTTTACATAAGATCCTTTTTTTCATTTTTCTTATCAATTTGATTAGTATATTAATGTAAGTACATGACGTTATTGATAGCTTCTCACAATATCTCATAGACACGTGAGACTGAAAATATCTCATAGATACGCTTTAGCATAATTTCACACTAATGTTCGTGTATCTGGTTTTACGTAATGCAATTCAAACGTGTTTGAGGAAATAAAATAAGTACATATTATCAGTGTTTTGAAATGACGTCACCTGTTTCATATAGAATGTATACCGAAATATACATCAGTACACGGGCCAGTGGTAATGACGTCACGAATCCGACGCCATATTGTACTGGTATGCTACCATATTTTTACCGAGAAAACGAATATGACGTATGACCGAGCGTGCGTGAGATGCATTCGAATTTTATATCTTTTTTATTTAAAAAACAATATTGGCATCTGAACAAAAAGAATTCCTTTTAATTGATGAGGTGAATAAAAAATCTTCTTTATTCGAACTATGTTTAATATTTCGTCGATTTTTGACGTCATTAGCACTGGCCAGTATACTGGTCTATATACCGGAATACACCCTTACTATACGCATCAAAACATTATATGCAACATGAACGTTTTTGAACTTTTGATCGATTTTTAATATTTTCTTACTTTTCCAATATTTTGTTAATAATAACCAATTTGATTTATCAGTGACTAAAGCAAAATAACCTTTGAATAAATTATACATTTCATAAATATTTATAAAATTTGAATATGAACTGATAAAAATTGCGGTTTGCACAAATGATGCATGTTGCTTAGACTGCTGTGATCTCAGTAGATAAACTTGTACAGCACCTACTATAACAAATTTCACACACAGCCAACGTAGGTTGCGTACGTTTCCCAACCTCTGGACTGGAAAACTTCTTATCCTGGATGGGGAGTTAGCGGTTTCGATGGGTGTTTCAAAAAAATACTATTGGCCGATAGTTGGTTGGGTTTGAGTAATCTCCTTAAAATTTACTCAGAAAAATATAAGTTAACCTAATTCCCGGTATCAAAAACTAATCTTTCTTGCTATACTGTATACTGTATTAGATAGGTATTGTTACAAAAATGAGTTACGTTGGAAAGATGATTTTCAACGGTAATGCCTACCTCTATAGTCTCCGTGGCACCGTACCTAACGCTGAGTCCCTTGGGATACCTGACGTACACAACGGCCATGGGCGACGGTGGTCTTCCGTGTGTGTCGCACAATAAGTTGTCGCATGACAAAGCTAACTCGCATAATGGCACTTCATTCATATCTGCAGAGCAAAAAAAAATATAGTCGGATGCTGCCAAGCACCTTTTATTTAAAAAAAACGAGCTAGCCTTACAGCAGTCGCATATGACTTGTAACATTTGAAACCTCATCTTATATTAGTAAAAAAAACCTACTACAAAAGAACAATATGTTCTAAAATCAAATCGAATAGCGCGCGCTTTCGCGTCTTCCGTCCGACACACTTCCGTCCGAGAAAGAAAGCGAGAGGAAAGATGTTACACATCAAAAATTTTCGTCTATTGGAGTATCTATGGTATCACTCATTATAAGGGGTTTATAAGATATCAAAACTTTAGTCATTACATGGGAAGCTGGAAGTTTTATAAACAAACATACTTTACTGAACTATATTGTTGGTCTTCGCCGAAGTCACAGACACTCAATACATATATGTATAGTTTGTTATAAAAGTTTAAATGTCTGCTTAGCAGTTTGCCATATTAGTACTGAAACCATAAATAATTCAATATTTTCTTATAAAACATGAGACCTTAAAAACAGCAAGGTATTGTATTACCTGTCATGATACCCTTCTGCATTCTATAACTCGCTATGTCTATAATTGGCCTGATTCTATTAAGTCTTTCCTTCAGTGCTGCAATCTGTGTAGTCACGTGTTCGTATGAGGCCATCTGGATGGCCTTCAGCCATAAAGTGCGTTCCGATTCATGGAAAGTAGCCATACGATAGCACACGCCATTTTCCCATACTGTGAACAAAGTGGAGAGGGTCTTAACAATTTTATATGAGACTAAGTCGACGAGTATATATGCACTAGCTGTTGCCCGCGACTTCGTACGCGTGGAATTAGTAATTTTAAGTAGCCTATTGTTTATCCAATCTGATTTTTCTCAGTCTGTTTACGGTTTGTATTTGAATCAAGTTTTAAGTCTGTTAGTTTACCCAAGGAATAAGATTTTTCATACAACCTCTCATTAAAACCTAAAACCCCTATTTGAAACCCTTCGGGGGGGGGGGGGGGGGGGAAAGGTCCATTCTTAGTGCACCCTTAGACCGTATACTGTCATACTTTCAATAAAATATTTTTTTCAATTTCTTTCAATAAATAAGAGCGACAGGCGGCCAGCAAGCTCCGCCTCCTCGTCTCGCCCGCCGCCGGCGCCGCGCCGCCAGCGTCTTGTCTTGCTTGCATCAAGCGCGCGTGGATTTCCTTAGCAGAGTTATTTTAGAAATGTATTTATTATACTCTTCAAAGATCTTATACTTACAATCATCTACAAATATATTTCGAAAAAGATTATTACAGAATTTTATGTTGATGAACGCCGGCGCCGCGCCGCCAGCGTCTTGTCTTGCTTGCATCAAGCGCACGTGGATTTCCTTAGCAGAGTTATTTTAGAAATGTATTTATTATACTCTTCAAAGATCTTATACTTACAATCATCAACAAATATATTTCGAAAAAGATTATTGCAGGATTTTATGTTGATAAAAAGCTCTATGGCCCATAACTCATTAATAGGTACCAACTCTTAACATCTTACACACGTGATAACTTTTAAACGAAATATCCGATTGAGATGAAACAAAAAGTATTTTACTTCTACATAAATACTCTTGATAACATAATGCTTAATTTCGATAAAGATTAATATTACGATACATATTTAACGTAGTTTGTTTTTCTTCAGACGATTTAATAATTATTTTGAACACAAAATCGATTATTGTGATTAAACCATGATAGCTAGATATATGTTCTCGCGGGCTTTTTTGTAGGTCTTACTGGGATCTACAAACCCGTAGTACATCATTTTGTTCTATTGTCAATATTTTTTGCAGCGCACGCAAAAATAGGATTTCGATTTTACACCTTGTGTTACAAAATAGCAATTTTATTACGGATCCCTAATTTTGAAAAAAAAATATAGCCTATAGCCTTCCTCGATAAATGGACTACCCAACACTGAAAGACTCATTCACATCGGACCAGTAGTTCCAGAGATTAGCGCGTTCAAACAAACAAACTCTGCAGCTTTATAATATTAGTATAGAAGTATAGATACGAGTATGTCACCGGCAATCTGAATAATTCAGGTATTCTATACCTTGGCAATGTATGCGTAATGCCTTGGGCGTCTAGGTAATATATGAAATATTATATATATTATTTTCCATTTTATTTTACTTTGCCTAGGTTATACAATTCCCATGGATTGTATAGACTACCTGCTGGTTCACCGGCAATGTGTAAAATAAACCGATTTTAGCCTGTATTTATGTTAACCACACCTAACCTAGCTTACATAATTAGATAGAAAATGGCAAACGGATTCTATACTTCTCACCGAATAAACTACAGGCCAAACATTTGATCAACTGACAGTGGGTAAGGTTAAGTTAGTGTTGTGACCTAAACTTAGCCAGCCACCTGATAGATAAATAATTAAAGATAAAAGATAAAAACAAGGAAAATTTGACTCGCTATCTTCTCTTACACACATTGCCGATTGCGCAATCGGCATTTTATAGAATATCTAGGCTATGTACAAAATAAATAATACTTCACACATTGCCTTGACGTTAGATTCTATACAGTGCCTAGGGATTGTATAGAATGCCGGATTTTACAGATTGCCGGTAACACATATACTACTTACATCTCTGAGTGGCTGACTGAGGGTAACTGAATACCAAATTATTTTCAGAAAATTACTTTTAAATGACGACAAACTCTTGACTAACACAACTTTGGACTTTAAAGCTTAATATTAAACAAAAGAGTCCTTTGAAAAAATGTCTTCAATATTTTTCAATTCCTTGGCTTTGTAAGTTTTTTGAGTGTATATATTATGGGCCAAGTGATTAATGCGGGCAGTATTCATAATGCCAGGGCAGTATGAATAATGCCCAGCCATATCGGGCCAAGTGATTAATTACAATCTAAACTCACCTATTTATCACATTGCCCGGTCATTATTAATAATGCCGGACTGCTCGTTGTCCATGTAATAAGTCAGTGTTTGAGATAGCTTGAATTTATCGCTTGGACTGGGCAGTATGAATAAATTCAAAAAGTTGGTTCTATTGTCAAAATGACAAGATGTCTCGCCATTTTGTGTTTGTTTTGAGATCTTGGCAAATAAAAAATAGTATGGGCTCAACACTTAGAAAAAAGTAAAATGTGGTTTTACAACAGTCTTTAATTCAGAACCGACTTGGTCAACCCCGACACGCCGTGGTCTTGGTCTGCCCTACCCCTAGAGTGTTTTATAGAGCCCGGAGGCGCGGAGGTAGATCAGCCCCCGCCTGCTGTGACAAACTCGCAAGAATAGTCGCACCCGTAGCGCCTAAGGCTGGTCGCCGCCGGAGGTGGCGACCAACAAGCCGAAAGTGTGAAGGGGAGTGATGCTTGTGACTTTGTCACGCAAAGGCGGAGGGGCTGCTATTCCCGCAGCGCCGGAGATAAGGCAGAAGTACTAGTTTTTACTTCCCTAGTCCTTGCATCCTAAAAAATAGGGAACCATAAATTCAGAACATTTAACAGATTTAATGAATTTTTCTATTTTTCAAACAAACTGCATTGAAACTACTATAGACTATAGTTTCTAAATGTAGCCCTTCGTAAATTGATCGAAGCAAAACCGAAGTCTGATTATTTAAATTTTAAAAATAAATACTAAAGTATAAAACATCTTTTTATTATTACTCTACCCGATAATTGATTTCATTACTTGTAATGCTCGGTCTATCTAACCAAGTATTCATTTGAAAGTATTAAACATGCTTTACATCACTCTGCCCGATAGGCACTTGGCATTATTCATAATGCCCGGGCAATGTGATAAATTGATTGGATATAATCACATTGCCGCTATTATTGGGCATTATTCATATTGCCCGAGCATTATGAGTAATGCCCGATTAATCACTTCGCCCATAACATATACATCACAAATTACATTTTACGGATACAAATAGTCACTGATATACATTGCGGACATACGAACGGGCATAGCGAACCTAGAGTTCTTTATTGACTTAGGAACCGTAAAATAGATTTTTAAATACCTATATGAAACGGCCAATGTCCATTTTCATCCTGTGACTGCAATTTCATTTGATGATGGCCGAGCACTATAACACCCATTGGTTCGTACCAAGGTTCAGGTCCCTTCAAATAGAATAACAAGTTACCCCTCAAACGGAACCACCTCACTGAACAACCTGTAACAAAATAAAGAAATATATGTGAAATATAACTCGGCCAAACATTATGACAAAAAAGTTTGCAGGCAGAAAAAGTTTTCACCATTAGAACATCACCAGGACACTTCTAGAATCAGGGCAAAGTAATGTATTTTATACACCGCACAGCAATTTACCGCACTCTACTACTTAATTTGGGTGGCGTTATGTAACAATAGGAATAGGATAATCAGTGGCGTATTTTAAAATCTGGGGCCACTTACGATTTACAATACTCCCCAGATGATGTGTGGGTAATATGCTTATTTGACAACCTTTTAATATTTAAAAGTATCACCATCCCACATGGTGCTCTGGAAACCTCACTCACCAACATAAAAACACCAAAACGTAGTTTTAATTGTGTATATAAGGTAGTTCTCCAAACTGGCGCTAGCTTGTTGGTCTACCTCTCTCGTTACTACGGCTAAGATATTGTTATCGCATAATCATTTCAGTATTCTGAAGGCGGTGATATCCTCTTTGCCCACGGTACTGCCACTGCTGGGGTACAATGTCTAAAAGACTTAAAGTAGTTACTTACCTTTTTTACTTTACTACGTCTTTTTACTTTGAATGTATACCTATTGGTCTTTTTCTAGGTTTTTTCTTCGTTGAGCATAAAAATCAAACAGAAAACAAATAAACATTTACAACTCTAATAAGGTGTAATAACGACCGGAGTATGTTACGTCCATGGAGTATTGATTCCAGGGTGAAAACAATTTAAAACCTTAGGGTTACAATTTTGTGTGATAATGGTGTCGCTTCTGGCATGATTCTCTAAACTTAAAACTAAATTTAACATCAGTCTCTTCTTTTCATTCTGTATAGAGAACGACCAGGATACACTGTTGTCAAATTTAAGTTTAGGTTTAGAGAATCATGCCAGAATTGACAACATTGAGCCCATAAAACAATATTATTTTTATTTTATTTTTCCATTTACCTCATGTATTTAAAGTTAACTGTTACAAACATGCAATTCAAGAAGTAGTTCGTGGCAATTTAGTTTAGTTAGTAGTATGTAGAAGGCCACTCAGAAAGTTTTACGAAAAAAAGTGTTTATATATGTTACCGGCCAAACCCGATTTCAGGACAAACCAGTTTTGCCTAGGCTAAACTAGTACTTCCTATATGCGATAGGATTAACTAGTATAGCCTAGTCCAAACTAATTTGTCCTAAGCCCGATTGGATAAACTAGTTTAGCCTAGGCCAAACTAGTTGATCCTGATATAAAAACGCACACTCTGGATAAACTAGTACGGCCTAGTCTTAACCAATTTAGCAGAGTCGATAGTAATTGAACAAACATGTCAGGACTTGTACAGGTCGCGTCATGTAAAAAGAACGCTGGAAGAAAGTGGAGGGAGTGTGTATGCGCCTGGGTGATGCAGCTGCAACAAAAACTGTCCCACAAACAGATGCCAATGATGGCAATGATACTCTGCAATTCAAGATGGCAAGAAGGCAATGATACTCTGCAATTCTAAGTGCCACCAAAGCACACTATGTAAAAATAAATAACAATTTTAATAATTAAGATATTATGATTATTGCTTCTATTAAACAAACACATATTATTTGTTATAGTATGATTGTTTGTATTACTAATTATCCATAACTTTTAACGATGAATCATTATCATTTTATAAAAAATATTTTGTTTTCCAATTACGGAGTATTTATTCACTATATCTATTTATTTTGACTTTCTAGATATACTATAATGTTTGAACTAGGCCATATTAGTTTATCCTAGAGTATGCGTATTTATATCAGGATCAACTAGCTTAGCTTAGGCTTAACTGGTTTATCCTATCGGGCTTAGGACAAATTAGTTTGGACTAGGCTATACTAGTTAATCCTATTGCGTATAGGAAGAACTAGTTTAGCCTAGGCAAAACTAGATTGTCCTGAAATCGGGTTTGGCCGGTAACATATATAAGACACTGGCCACTTGTAATTATTTTGAAAACTTCGATTATTTAAAAGTAAAAAAAACCGCTGTTCGATTTTCAAATTTCCCTCAGTATTTTTTCGAGAAATATTAAATTTTTCTTGTCTCATTAAAAAATGGTTCTGCATCGAGAACATTTTCGTGCTATGATTTTTTAAGATTTAAAATGTGGCTTAATACCTGATGAGTCATTTGATAGATTTCAAACTGCTTTTATGGATGAAGGACCTTCAAAAGCAACCATCTACCGCTGGGGTAGCGATTTCAAACGCGGTCGTCTTACTTTGGGGGATGAACAAAGGAGTGGTCGTCCTACGACGGCTGTCACCGAAGAAAGTATGCTGGCAGTAAAAAAAAATCAAGAAAACAGGCGAATTACGTACTAAGAGATTCAGCATACTCTGCAGATGGGTTCAGGAAGTGATCACAAGATTTGCATGAGCACCTTTGCGTACGGAGGATAGTTTCCCGCTGGGTGCCACACAACCTCACCGAAGCTCAGAAGCAGGCCCATGTGGATTGGTGCAGTGATATTATACAAAAATTAGACGCAAGCTCGTCACGGCGCGTTTACGATATTTTGACAGGTGACGAAACCTGGATTTATTAATACGATCCAGAAACAATGCGTCAGTCCACAGTTTGGCTGTTTCAAAATGAACCAACGTCTACGAAAGTGAAGCGATCGAGGAGCGCAGGAAAAATTTTGATCGCTAGTTTCTTCCCTTTGACGGGGTACCTAATTTCAATTCCACTTCGAGACCAAAGCAGCATCAACGCCGTATAGCACAAAATGCCTGCCAGAAGTTTTTTCTGCTATGAGCAACAAGCGACCTAACACCGGGCTCCGCGGGGTCCTTCTTCACCACGACAACGCGCCCGCGCACTCTGCCATCAAAACGAAGGACTTCCTGGAATCCACACCAGTCAGAGTCTTGGAACACCCTCCTTACAGTCCTGATTTGGCTCCGTGTGACTTCTTTTTATTCCCTTAAATAAAAAATCAGCTCAAAGGGATACAGCTTTCATCGCCGGAAGAAGCGCTAGTAGCGTTTGAGAAGGCCGTGGAAGAGGTGTCTGCGGTGTTGGAAAAAAATATTTTGAAAATTGGTTCAGACTCATGAAACTTTGTATAGAGGCTGGTGGAGAGTTCTTTGAAAAGATTTAATAAAAATATTTTTTAATAGAAGTTAGTTCTTTAGTTTCTCAAAACTTTCTGAGTGTCCCACATAATAGGCTAGTTGACCCTTTTTGGAAAAGGGTTTTAAATGGTTAATAAATGTTCTATTAGACCGAAAAAAAATGTATTGTATTTTTTTTAAACCTAGAAAGCTACAAATCTTTAATTTTAATATAGACTTTTCATGGACATACAAAAACGCTGTCGGCCATTTTAGTCTATAGATTATCTATGCTATGACGTGAACTGTGGTAAACTAAAACTCGTAAACACGTAGAAAATTACTTTTAACTGAGTTTATAATAAAAAAACCATGATTTCTAATAAATATCACGAAAAATAAAGTAATTATCATTACTGTATTGTACGAGAATATAAAAACACATCCTTGAAGACTCCAGGAAAGATTTGTGGATTAAAGTGCCGAAAGAAATTAACCTACGCAACTTTATTACACTTATTGATATGTTGTATCAGTTTTATGTTTATTACTACATTGTAATACTAAATGCACTGTATTTACATAGATGCCTTGTCGTTTCTCTGCTCCGCAGAGCAGAAATCGGGGTTTAGTGCAAAAAATTCACCAACCATCAATGCGTCAATTCTTGGCAGATTTGTGCTTTCTGCTTTCACAAAGCCGGCATCCATAATTTGTTTAGTAAAAAAAAACTAAGTTTACTGTTTTTTTCTTTCCTAAAGTTAAAAGTGTTTTAAGATAAATTTAGTCAGACGAAAGAATGCACCTACAGTAACACGCGAATGACATTTAGTTGTTTACCACAAGAGACATCAAAATCATGGCGGATGTGGCGAACAGCGTTTTTAGTGTTTAAAAAATATAGACTAAAAAATATTTTTTAAAATTAAATTTCTACAGCAATCTTCTGCTTTTATGAAGTGAAATCGATATATTAAGGTTCCTTAGACTAAATACTTTAAGAAATAAACATTTATTTAATACAATTCGACATGAGTAAACTAGCCTATTATCATATATTTAGGGGTACTTTAACACAGATTGAAGTCAGTTTCAGTATCAACTGGCACCAATAAAGAATAAAAGGAGATTTGGATATCATTTTAATCAACAGGTTAACATTTTAATCATATTAGTTATAAAGACCTACTGTATTTGCTATTACTTTTATTATTATTTGCTATGATTATTGAAGTTATACTTCTTTAGGCTCGTTATGAAAAAATGATGAGAGCGAAATTTTAAGATGTGCGCGCATCACTGTAACGCAAAAGTAACACCATGAAGTTGGTCGCTAAACCGTACATTAAGTCTGGAAAAAAAACTACCAACAAAATATAAATAGAATCTCTATTAGTATAGTCGCGCATGTTGGCACGGTCGTCGCCTCTGATCACTGTTTTCATATTTATAATATTTATCCACATGTTTATAGTTTTTATATACACAACACGTGTTTTAGTTTCATACAAGTGCGAATAATAAATGTGCTAATAAATTATATTCAGTAGTGATTTAAATTCAATATTTTGATTATTTATTTAATTTTAAAATTAAAACTGACCTTTATTGACTGTGTGATCCTTTTCCAGTCCTTTTATTATTTTAAAGTAATTAATTTTTTGCATGTAATTAAAACAAATTTTTAATTATGCCAAAGAAGTATAACTTCTCACGCGCGTACATCAGTACACGCATCCATTTTGTTTCTATTTACTTGCGTGCATGGTTAGCACGACCACTTTATGTGATTCGAAATCCATAATGTGAAAAATTGCCGATGGTTAGCCGCGCAAACAAAAAATTTGCCGTGCGATTATTTTTTATTTTTTACTGTCGGTCGTGCTAACTTTATATGAAGTCAGCACTACCATCACTGAATAACCAAGAAAATATCGAGATATATACTAATTATATAGCTCAGAATTTGCCGCAAATGTGTCGCAGACGAACCATACTAAATAGAAGATTGTCGGATCATTTCTCTGCGGCTAATTTGCAGCAAAATCTGAGCTACATAATTAGCATGTAGCTTAATATTTTCATGGTTTTTCAGCGATGGTCATGCTAAAACCATAAAAAAATGAACACGATCATAGATAAAAAATAAAAAAAATGCATGACAATTGTTTTTGTTTGTGCTGCAAATTTGCGGCAATTTTTCCATATTGTGGATTTCGAATCGCATAAAGTGGTCATGCTTACTTCATGCACGCAACTTACTTACTTTTATTAACTAAAGGGAAACCCATAATTGGCCATACTAAAGTACTATCTGATATTTATATTATATTTATTTATGTATACCCTGTTGGTTTTCTTAATAAATAAACAAAGTTAAAAAAAGCATTGATTAATAGCAAAGCAGACAATAATAAATAAACAATCATATTTATAGTTATAACATTACACATGCATTTTAAATGCATAGATCAGTTATTCATTAATTAGATTACTTGTTAAAATTGAAACCTATTCAGATTTTAACCTACCTTCTTTCAATTTGAATCCCGAACAGGGCTGAAATGCTAAAAAATTGCATAAACAATATTAAACCAATCCAAAACACAACAAAAAAATATAATCAACTAACTGAAAAAGTAATTTTCAGAAAATAAAATAATATGTAATTCAGTTCTATGCCTCCTGATAACTAACATAGTTTAAACAAAGTTGTAAAGGTTGGTCCACAGCCTATTTTTATGGTGGCACTTTTCCATGGTTTATAGTTATTTTTCAGTTCAATTTACCCAACAAAACTTGCTGTACCTGACAAATAGACAGAGCAAAATGACCATCACCAACTATATACCAAGATAATAATGCAAATATTTGGGATCAGACTGCAAACAACAACATTGACCAATGCACATGAGTTTTATTATTTAAGTTCCTGTTACTACTTCAACTGTTGATATGTCTCAATCTATATACATAAAACTCAAAGGTGACTGACTGACATAGTGATATACTATTTTCGCTCCTACTGAATGATCTTCCTGCTGCAATAAAAAATGCGGAAGTTTTCATGTATGCAGATGATGTGGCCACAGTAGTCACTGCAACCTCAATAGACAGGTTGGAGCATGAATTGAATCACACAGCGAGTCAGCTTGCGGATTGGTTCAAATGCAATGGCCTCGTACTCAACTTCAACAAAACACATTTCATGCACGTCAATCTGTCTGGACGGATGACTAGAGAGCTGGCTGTTAAAGTTGGTACTACAAAAATAGAACAGGTAGACAAAACCACCTTTCTGGGATTTGTTCTTGATAAGGGGCTTACATGGGAAGCCCATATTGATCAGACGTGTGGGAAGCTTGGTGGAGCTTGCTACGCCCTCAACAGATTATCTAGGCTCATGCCGAGGGAAGTGGTTCGTTCATGTTATTTCGCAACGGTCCATTCCTTGTTACAGTATGGCGCTGAGTTATGGGGGCGGGCTGCTGACTGGAGGCGAGCATTCAGAATGCAGAAACGGGCCATACGTGCTATTGTTAAAATAAGGTCGGATGCTGATTCATCTAACCTTATTTCAAAGAACTCGGAATTTTAACTCTGCCGTCGATAGTAATCCTTCAAGTTGCTATATTTGTGCGAACAAATTTACAATTATATAGTAAAAACAGTGACAAACATTCACACTATACTCGAGGTGCGAACAAGCTGACCAGTGAGCAGAGAACTTTGGTCAAATCGGGCAGGCTAACTCATGTCATGGGTTCGACGGTATATAACTTGTTACCTAAATTGGTCACTGACGCCAAGTCGCTTAATAATTTTAAACATAAATTAAAATTATGGCTCATTGACAGAACCTTTTATAGTGTCGATGAATTTTTAAATGATAGATCCTTACATTAATTGGACTAATTATTTTTTATAATATTGAATGATTATTAATTTATTAATTCATTTTATTTTTTGTTTTATTATTTCTATTTGACATTTGTATTTTGACATATTTGTATTTGACTTTTTGTAAAAATATTGTATTTTAATTGTTTTGACTCCGTAATGTACTTTTATATAATTTGAAATATTGAATTAATTGAATGATCACTTAGTACTTTATGTATTTTCTGCTATGTTTATTATTGACGTGTAATTTATTACGAAATAAATGATTATGATTATCAATGCACAGCCCAAACCACTGGACGGATCGGGCAGAAATTTGGCATGCAGGTAGATGTTATGACGTAGGCATCCGCTAAGAAAGGATTTTGATCAATTCTACCCCAACGGGGATAAAATAGGGAATGAATGTTTGTATGAAACTTTGTCAATTTTAAACTGATCGGGCTGAGACTTTGCATGCAGATATAAGAAGAATCATAGATGAATGTCATTGTGTATAATACAAGCCTGAGAACAAAAACTGTAGTCTACACTTCAGCTCTACATCGAAGCGAAGCGAGGGCGGGCCGCTAGTTCATAATAAATTACTTAAAATGTGAAGTCAGAAATAATTATATCCAACTATTCAGAGTAGTGCGCTTTTGTGAATAAGCCTTATATGTAGTTGCAATAGTAGTGTGCCAGCAGTTCTGGGTAATATCAGTTTGTTTAAGCGCAAATAAATATTTTTAAAACTAAACTAAGCACATATTGCACTGCTATTAAACATCACAACTGGTAAATATGAATAATTAATAACCATGTAAAGCACCACCATTAAAAATCTGTTGGATTGTAATCAGGCCATATTCAACTATTAAAGAGTGAATAACAATATTGCTACCATGTAACTTGTTGTTTTGATACTTTTTATTATTCCATCAACTTAAAAAGTCCCTTAAAATCACAAGAGTAATCAGATCAGACTTAAAAAATATTATTACATGGCAACAATCCCATTCATGAATCTAGTATTGCAGTTTCAAACAATATGTAATCAAAAATGTTTGATAAATAGACAAATAAAACAACTAAACATACTATAATATAAACTGTGGACACTCTGCAGAAAATTTTAACACCATCCATAAAATCATACATTGTATACTTGTTTTTTTAACAATATAATAATATAAGTGTAAATAATTAGCAGAGGAGAACTAAGAGGTTCTTTATCATACTTACAAAATAGATGAATAAGTTAAACTTCCAAAGTATAAAGGTACATCTTTCAAGAAAACTGTGGTAAGACAGTCAACTATAAATGAACCAATAACCAAAAAGAATGTAAAAAATACAGTTTGTAGATTTTAAATAGAATAATTGAAAGGAAATACAGGTGAAGAAGGCTTAAAATTGAACTATTTCATAACATTTTACAAATATACACAATATTACACCTACTGACCTTCAGATCTGCGAAAGAACCCATCCTGGCGCTCTTTCAATACAAGCACACCCTCTCTATCGAAGTTCTGCGATGTCTGAGACGCTAGCGCAAACAACTCTTGCTTATTAAACCTCATGATTTTCCAGATCACATAATAAAATTTCCACTATTTTTAGATTACTGTGCTATGAACCAAAACATATTTTTAGGGGGGGCACTACTTATGAAAATTACTTCGTGTTTTATTTTCTCAGGGGCTTTCATCCATTAAACAAGAAGGACGAAGTGCGTACATAATTTAAATATTTGATTTATTTGTACAAAAAATAATAACAAAAATAACGCAATACCACACCGACCGATTCACCGATCGCCAAGAACACAGGTTAACCGGGATCGCATTCCTTCCTGCCAAAACACAGGCTACTTAAGTCATAGATATAGGTGTCGATTCTGGCATGATTCTCTTATACGTTACGTTAAGCATTATGCCGCATAATGATGCGGCATAATGCTTAACGTTGAATGTTTCAACTACAGCAACGCTTCGCACAATCGAGCACTCTCAAAAGTAATGCTTTTGTGTGATGTGTGCAATCGTACCAACTCAGTGACAGGAAATAAACAAGTATTTTTTTCTTTATGTTGGTATTGATCGAAATGTTTTTTATATATGTTATCGTTAGTAATATTATTTATTGTTGAAAAACTATTAAAGCTTTCGTTTCATCATAGTTTTTCTTTTATTAATTAAAGTTAATTCAAACTGTCTCAAAATAAATATAAGTATGGATGAAGGTCACTGACCTCTAATATTACACACTAATAATAATACAGGTCAGTGATGAAGGTACAAACATTGACTTTTTTTCAACACTGAACTTAGCGCACTCTGCTGGTGCGTTTGAAAACTAATTCACGTTCCAATTATGCATCAGCATAATTCAGCATTGTGCGCCACTGAGTCGCATTATGCTCGGTAATTGGAAAACCACCTATGAGTGAAAGAGTAGTTGCCGAAGTCGACGAAAGTTTCACAGTGCTGTAAATTACGGTCTACGAGTGTCCAAGTAATATGTTCACAACTCCATTCAATTCATTTATTGCAGACCATAATGGAGATACAAAGGTGGTAATATTAACAGATAAAAAGTGCATTATGGACCCTGTAGTGTAGGGTATCGCAATTGGAAGAGGAGAGGACGTCTTATTCATAATTCCTTATTGTGATATAATTTGTTATATACAATGAATTAAAACCCATTAAAATTATTTATTCATACTACTCCAATAAGATATTGTATAATTAGATTTATGATTTATATACGATTATTAATGTATAGGGAAGTTCATATATAATATTTATGAAAATATTATAATTAAAATGTTAAAAAAATATAAAAGAAATGCCACTGCAACGTTTTTATTTTACATAATGTTGTTTTTTAACAATTATTACGAATTAAAAATACTTGAAACAGAACGTATTTTAAAACACCAATCAGCGTTTAGTGACGTCACTCCTGTTATGACAACTTCTTTGAGGTTATGGTTGTTAAAGTAAATATTATTTTATGGGAATATTAATTGCGTTTTTTTACATTTAATAAAAATAGAAGTTGCATTTATAAAAGCAGACTCCAGGAATTTACCTTGGTAAATTATAACCATGTCAACACTAACTCTTGAGTTAGTGTTGACATGGTTATAACTTTTTTTGTCCAGAGTTTTTAAGTGTAGAAATGAAAGGGACTAAATTACTACGGTATGTAAAAATCGTAGTTGTTAAACTTCGTATTTTATTCAGCGACTTCTACAAATCTTACGGCGATAATGCATCGGCTATGTCCAAATTAAAAGAGATGGAGAATTATGTACAGTAAAAGCCGAGTTCTCCGGAGCATAAAGTACGTAAAGAAGGTTATCGTGTTACAGTTATTTTAAATGAAACGCAAAGCTTGGTTCAGTCCTGCCAATGTGAAGATTGTGCCACACATTTTAAACTTTATCTAATTTTCGACGTCATTCTCCAACTATAAAATTAAAAATATGTTATAGACAGGTTTTGTAAGTATTAGGTAGGTTACTAATGCGTTTTTACGTACAAGCAGATTAATTAAGCATATAACAAGTATATTCGCCGACTTACGTCAAAGTGATCTTCACAGCATCGAATAATGGTCTTTGGAGAATAATTGTCATTTCTCTTTGCAGCTTGAAACCACTTTTTTTCAGTTTTGGGTCAGAAGTTCCAGTCAAAAACAATTTATTTGGAAACTTTGTTGAAGTAGATTAGACAAAATATGAGTCAACACGGTTTTTTTTGGAATATTAGTGGTATTGTTATGATCACATGATGTTGATGGATAGTCCATTTTAAATTTTTCAAAAAAATATTCCGAAAGTCGAAAAAATATGCAAAAGTATGAAAATTTAAAGCCAGCGACGAACAAGTACGACCAGTGACAGACAGGAGTGACGTCATCGCAGCCATAGGTTCGTTTTCGCGCGAAAATTTAAATTGTCAATTTAAAACCGCATTTTTTCCGATAAATTACAATGTTTTAATATATCTGTGGTTTATTCTACATGGAATTCTTTAAAATGAAAACAAAAAGAGATATATTGCATCTTCCCTATTGTATTATATCTTTTTATAATATAAAAATAATTATAGTATTAATTATATTTATTCCATAGTAGTTTTATCATTTAGGTATTCCTGGAGGCTTTTAGCATTTATTCAATAGCTTAATTTTTTTAATAAATACATTGTAATTTTCTTCATTTTTAAAATTTTCAGGTAATCTTTATATATATAATTCTTCTGTGAGTGTGTATGTCACTGAACTTCTCTTAAACGACTGGACCGATTTTGATGAAATTTTTTGTGTGTGTTCAAGGGGATCTGAGAATGGTTTAGATTCACAATTTTGTCCGCTGGACAACCCCTATTTTTTTAAGGGCGGTACGAAGTTCGCTGGGTCAGCTAGTTTATTATAGATTACTAGCGGACCCGACAGACGTTGTCCTGTCTAGTATGGTAGCGCCGTCTGTCGGATCCAATGTAAAACATTCCAAAATCAACAACTACTAATAAATTAAAAATTAATTAAAAAAACATTGTCCAGCGGACAAAATTGTGAATCTAAACCATTCTCAGATCCCCTTGAACACACACAAAAAATTTCATCAAAATCGGTCCAGTCGTTTAAGAGAAGTTCAGTGACATACACACTCACAGAAGAATTATATATATAAAGATTACAGATATATTATAAGTGCTCGATGAGCATAATTTAAGGCGAGCAATTGGAACCATTAGATTTTTCTTGTGTCTCGATGTATATTTTGTAGGAATGTTTTCTCTTCTAGTAAAAAAAATTGAGTATTTTTTTACTACAACTCAAATATATAAATGCATGGAAAAGAAAGAATTTCATATTTTTGGAAGTAATGTTTACAACTTTCAGTTTGGTTAATATTAACAATAATACGAATAAGTTTCTTTTGTAGTATAATAGGCTAGTTGACCCTTTTTGGAAAAAGGTTTTAAATGGTTAATAAATGTTCTATTAGACCGAAAAAAAATGTATTGTATTTTTTTTAAACCTAGAAAGCTACAAATCTTTAATTTTAAAATAGACTTTTCATGGACATACAAAAACGCTGTCGGCCATTTTAGTCTATAGCTATGAGCAACAAGCGACCTAACACCGGGCTCCGCGGGGTCCTTCTTCACCACGACAACGCGCCCGCGCACTCTGCCATCAAAACGAAGGACTTCCTGGAATCCACACCAGTCAGAGTCTTGGAACACCCTCCTTACAGTCCTGATTTGGCTCCGTGTGACTTCTTTTTATTCCCTTAAATAAAAAATCAGCTCAAAGGGATACAGCTTTCATCGCCGGAAGAAGCGCTAGTAGCGTTTGAGAAGGCCGTGGAAGAGGTGTCTGCGGTGTTGGAAAAAAATATTTTGAAAATTGGTTCAGACTCATGAAACTTTGTATAGAGGCTGGTGGAGAGTTCTTTGAAAAGATTTAATAAAAATATTTTTTAATAGAAGTTAGTTCTTTAGTTTCTCAAAACTTTCTGAGTGTCCCACATAATAGGCTAGTTGACCCTTTTTGGAAAAGGGTTTTAAATGGTTAATAAATGTTCTATTAGACCGAAAAAAAATGTATTGTATTTTTTTTAAACCTAGAAAGCTACAAATCTTTAATTTTAATATAGACTTTTCATGGACATACAAAAACGCTGTCGGCCATTTTAGTCTATAGATTGTCTATGCTATGACGTGAACTGTGGTAAACAAAACCTCGTAAACACGTAGAAAATTACTTTTAACTGAGTTTATAATAAAAAAAAACATGATTTCTAATAAATACCACGAAAAATAAAGTAATTATCATTACTGTATTGTACGAGAATATAAAAACACATCCTTGAAGACTCCAGGAAAGTTGTGGATTAAAGTGCCGAAAGAAATTAACCTACGCAACTTTATTACACTTATTCATATGTTATATCAGTTTTATGTTTATTACTACATTGTAATACTAAATGCACTGAACTTACATAGATGCCTTGTCGTTTCTCTGCTCCGCAGAGCAGAAATCGGGGTTTAGTGCAACAAATTCACCAACCATCAATGCGTCAATTCTTGGCAGATTTGTGCTTTCTGCTTTTACAAAGCCGGCATCCATAATTTGTTTAGTAGAAAAAAACTAAGTTTACTGTTTTTTTCTTTCCTAAAGTTAAAAGTGTTTTAAGATAAATTTAGTCAGACGAAAGAATCCATCTACAGTAACACGCGAATGACATTTAGTTGTTTACCACAAGAGACGTCAAAATCATGGCGAAAGTGGCGAACAGCGTTTTTAGTGTTTAAAAAATATAGACTAAAAAATATTTTTTAAAATTAAATTTCTACAGCAATCTTCTGCTTTTATGAAGTGAAATCGATATATTAAGGTTCCTTAGACTAAACACTTTAAGAAATAAACATTTATTTCATACAATTCGACATGAGTAAACTAGCCTATTAAAGAGATACGTCCGTACTGTTCCCCCACAAGATGATTCCATAGGTAAACCAGGCATTGGCTACAGACCAAATGAAAAGTAAAGACGGAGTCTGCCGAACAAAAAAGTGAAGCCGGTTTTTTATGTAAGTAGCGCATTAGCCAGTGTTACCATAGTCATTTATAATACCCCAATATTAGAAAAATGTAATAACGTTATTTCATAACGTTATAAAATATTAGAAAAAAATATCGTAGGCTTATTTCTCTAAACTGGTCCAGATTAGCTTTACACTAGCGCTAGATGCAACCTCTCATGAGCCAAAGGTCCTGTGCTTGGAGATCTGGGGTTCCTTTGATTTGGAAGTTTGATAACTGTTACACTAAT